CCAGAGTTTTGGTTAATACTATTTATAAACACATATGTGTGCAGATACTTTTAATTGGAAACACTTCTTTAACCTGGAAACCGTTTGATGGAATATGAACTAATATGTAAATACACACATAGTATAATGGGTGCATATTTGTACAATTACTCATCAGTTAAAAATGGGAGTATACTGTAAGAAATGTATTAGGTCATTTCACTGTGAGAACTCACATAAACTATGGGTATGGCTAAGATGTCACTTGGCAATAAGAAGAGTTAGCTGAAGCTAATCCTATGAAAGGAATTACCATCATACATTCAGTTTACTGTTGGCTGAAACATTATTGGCAGTTCATCATTATGTTGTGGCTATAAACATGGTTTTGTTTTGGTCCCAGGTATGGGATGTGGGACTGAGTCAGATGGTCCACAGCAGCAGACTATTTGCCTCGTGCCGGCTCTGAGAGGAGCTCTTTGCCAGCTGCAGATTGTTTAATTCTGAGGGTTCTGGAGAGAGAATAAATGCCAGAGCCCAGAGAGTGAGGAACTCAGAGAAAGAACAAGGCTGCTTCTGCTTCCCCCTTGCTGTTCCTGGTTGCTGTTGTGAGACAAGAAGTTGAAAGGAGGATTGGATTGGCTCCAAGGAACCAGACAACCCTAACCAGCAGGAAGCAGCTAAGAGAACTGCGCCCCCTCTCCCACTAAGCTTTTCTCTCTCCTACCTGGTGTTGGGGTGTTGAAGGGGTCGGGTGGAGCAGGGAGAAAAAGATATAGAAATGTAAATAAAAGGTTTTTTTTTAAGTACGCCTGCATCATTATCTATCTATAGACACATTTATATAATATTTATTGGTATAAATATATGTATATTGCTTTTTTATTTAAAATGTACATTCTGTCAGTCATATGATAACACTCTTTTAACAATCGGCCCATACACTCAAATTTTTTGTCTGAAGTGCTAACTTGGCGTGGTTTTAAAAAATCATGTATGTACACAATGTATTTTGGTCATATACACCTTCCCTCTGGCCCCACCTTTATGTCCTTCTCTTTTTATAATTGTTTTTTTATAACCCACTAAGTCTAATTGGTATTGCCCATATGTTCACGGTGAGGCCATCAGTGAGAACATAGGCAACACAATGGCCACATCCCCAAAGAAAAATGACTTCCCCTCCCTCAGCAGCCAGTAATGCCAATAGCTCCTCTTTCATTGGCGCCCTTCTGCCATCCGTGCTGGAATTTTGACTAGCTTGATCTTATTCAGGTCCTTTATGGGTAATCACAGCCCCTGACAATCCATGAGGGTAACCATTACTTCACACCGCTTCTCCAGATCTTCCAGCTCTTGCATTCTTTCTCCCGCCTCTTCTGCTATGTTCCCTGAGCTTTGGGCAGTGGGAAGTTGGTATAGGATCAACAGTCACTTATTTTCAGAAGTTTGACCAGTATGGGTCTCTTCATTAGCCATTGCCATTTGCAGAAAGAAACTTCTCAGGCCAAGGCTGAGAACAGCACAAACCTATGAGTGTGATCGTAAATATTCAGAATGAAGTTTGACAGTGTGACCATGTAGGAAAACACTAGTAGATTTTCCTGTAGCACCTGTGGCCTCTCCGTCCATGGCCTTTGATGGGTTTGCAGTGTACTCCTGTGGAGGAGGCCTGAGTTCCACTCGGAAGACAGCCGGTTATCCTCGCCACGGTCTGCCCCCATTGCACCAGCTCTCTATCCACTTTCCCGAAGGTTTCAGAATTCCGTCTTTCCTTACGGCGGAATGGATGTTCATTATACATATGTAGCACATTTTTATATCCCTCTGTCTGCTGGCAGCTATCTGGGCTGGCCCCACTTCCTAGACGTCGTGAACACGGACGTGCTGTAGTAGGATATGCTGGTGGGTATATGCCCAGGCACGGACACTCTCTTTTTAGCTTCCTGGGACACCTCCTCACTGGTTTCCGGAGTGGATGCACTAATTTACGCTCTCTCTAACAGCGGCTTTCCTTTTCCCCACATTCTCCCCAGTGTTTTATTGTCATTTTAGAACTAGATTTATGTTTTTTAATTAAAATGTAATTATATCACTTCCCCTTTCCCTTTCCTCCTCCCAGCCCCTTCCATGCCCCCTCCATCTAACCCCTCCCGTGTCCTACCTCACTCTTAAATTAATAGCCTCTTTTTCTTTATTATATTGTTTATATATGTAGGTATATATACATATATGTGTATATATGTATGTGTGTGTATGTGTGGGTATATATATATATATACATATAAATATGCAAGCTGCTGTTGATGATAGAAGAGGTTGACTTGCAAAGCAGTTTTAATTTGCATTTCCCTGATGGCTAATTATGTTAAACACACTTTAAAATGTTTATTGGCCATTTGTATTTCTTCTTTTGTAAACTGGCTTTTTCCAACTCCTGCTTAAATCCACGTGGGGAAACCCTGTTGCCTCAATGCTGCACTGTCTCCATATGCCTTGCAGATGTTTTTCTGAATGGAACAATTCTACTTCCTCCCTTTTTCTTTCTTCCTCCCTTTCTATGTAATGGGACATACTTGTTTCTCAAAGATGAAGCTGAGACATGTTCTATTCCTTCTAGGCTACCTCGTCCCCAAGTCATTCTTGTAAAGACAACAAATGGGGCTCCTTGCTCAGTTGTCTGCTCTATTTCCACCTTTTGGTTGAGATCCAAGCTGGGAGAATGACGTAGTGGCTAAGAGCCCCATCATGGTGGAAGTTATGCGTCCCCCTTGCCAGCCTGAAAGACTCTCTTCTCTGTTTTTCTCTCCTCCACTGAGCTCCCCAGTCACTGGATGTACAACGCTTCTAAACAGAAGAGGGTTGACAAATGCATTGCTTTTTGTTTCTGAAACCAAAACTGTTTATGTTAGACTGTAATATTTGCAAAAGTTAAGTACCGTGTCCATAATGTGTTATACACAGGCTTTTGAATTCTTATTTCTTGTAAGAACATTCATGAGCTGAAAACTTTGTTGCTTTAGATGTCTCAACCAACTCTCCATTAACTGCAAACAAGATGTACAGACTAAGCATTCCTGAGCAGTCCATAAAGGCGATTACCGAGTGAATCGAGGCACTCCGTTATCAGTGCTGAATGCTCAGGATGGTAAAGACTGTTGGGCCACAGCTGCCACTCAGTGCCACCCACTGTATTGTGAACCAAGGACCTGGAGAGAGTATTGTGGTTGGACGCGAACATGCCTGCACAGGCTTGTGCCTTCACTGCTTTTCTCCTGCTGCCTGTGCTATTTTGGAATCCCAGGAAACCTTTGGGAGGCATAGATGGTGGGAGGAGTTAATAAGGGTGGGCCTTTGAAGGGCCTACCCACCTCCTGATTCAGGTCTTCTTCCTGTTTCCTGGCCCTCTGGGATGTGAACAGCGTCTTCTAAACATTTCTGAGCCGCCCACCCCACTACCCCGCCATATTAGACTAAAACCCCTGAAACTATGGGCCAAAAAAATAAAATAAAATTCCTCCCCCCAATTATGTTGTTTTTTGACAGGCCGCAGCAATGTAAAAGTAACCAATACATTCCCTGGGCCTATTTCCCCAAGACACTCCGCTATAGAGAAATAAATTGATTGATTGATTGATTGATTGATTGATTGATTGATTAACTGGCTCCTGAAATTCTAATTTTAAAGTGGAACTCTTTAGGTTAGGTTGGTATTACTCTTGGAAGGAGGTCACCCTCTGTGGAGAACCAGCTCAAAGCCTGCGGCTACTGACTTGTCCTGGGGTTCCTCTGCCCAGGGGCTGCCCACAAAGGGAGGAGTCACAGCATTTGAGAGTCTGCCTTTTCAGAAGGGTGTGGGGAGAGGGGCACTGGGTAACCTTGTTCTGGAAAGCCTGGGAAGCTGCAGCTCCCAGGAGGCAGTCACTAGGCATGGCAGAGGTCTTGTGAATGCTGCCCTCTTCACTCTACCAAGGACCAGCTATTTGATTCTAAGCAATTTCTGACATATTTGCAAGTACTAATAGGCTTTTTCTTTTCCCCATTAAGACTCTTAATGGATGTCCCTGACTGTGTCCAAGTTTTTCCAAGACAAGAACCTTTGAGCATGTCCTTCCCCGGGCCCCCAGGAGTAGCTGAGCCCCAGGTACCGTTCTAGTGCACTGAACTTTAGGCCCAGAAGGGCCCCTGCCAGAGCATATTGTGCTGGGCGGTCACGGGAGGCAGAAACTGCTGGCCTCTCTTTCCATAGCGCACAGGACACTTTCGCACCTCCAGCACTTTCCACACAAAGCGGTGCGTGGTAGCAAGGCCCGCGTGTGGTTCAGAAGCAGTTCACCGCGCTGCTCTGTCCTTGCATTTGGCCTTCCGGTGAGAGACCCAAGCCCGACGCTGTCTGTGTTTGGTAAGCAAAAGGATTAACTTTGGGAGAATGCCTCAGTTTTCCCCTTATTAGGAATAAAATAGTCATTAGCAGAAATAAATATTTTCTCCTTATGGACAAATGTTAAGGGAAAAAAGCTTTTGTTTATAACTTTCATTAGGTGTAACTTGTTGGCCTAAATAAATTTACACTGCTGGAAATTAAAAGTTGGAAAAAGTAACATGTTAAAGAAGGATAAATTGTGTATTCTGTGGCCCCTGGGTTGAATGGTAACACAGAGAACTTGTCCAGACTCTATGTTTAACCTTTGTACGTGTATTTAATTTAATAAAAAAGATTACTCTCTTGAGTCTCATCACAGCTCTATGAATGTTCCCCCAAATAGTTGGTTTGAGCATTAATAATAAGCCTATATGTTGGTAACAATTGCTATGGCTTTATTCATGGGCAATGAACCCCTTATAATAAATTATACAGTTAACACTTGACAATGCCATGAGGGTGATATTAATTGCTGTAATGGAATCCAGTCAGAATTAAGTTGATTAAGCATGTTGACATCTTCCCGTGAACAGCCATATTGTGGTTGCTAGAATGAACTTCTTGATATTTGAAACCTGTTTTCTCTTAGCATCTAATCATGGTGGGAAAATCGACTGACATTGAAAACTCTGGAAATGAAGAGAGACAGACCAAAGCCTCAGACAACAGGCGAACGACGGGAGAGATGAGTACTGTTGGTAAGTTCCGGCTAGCTGTAACTTTCCTCCTGAGAAAGGGACACTTGTCCCTCTGTGGGGAAGACGGCCCAGGCTGCAGTCACTCTGAACACAGCAGCTCTGATTATGCAAAATCGAAGGCTAGACAAGCAAAGGCACTCAAATAACATTTTCCCATTTCTGTGAGTCTATTCTAGACAATTGGTTTTACTAATTTAAATATCACAACACAATTAGCTTTGTTTTCCCATCTCTTTTTTTCCAAAGTTTGGGCTAATTCCACTTTTTAATTCCATTCATAAACAGCGTTGACGGCTTCATGCACACAATTACCCCCAACACTGCACTAAAAACATCATCATGGTCTGCTGGTCCTTCTTTCACGTGGCCGTTGTGAACTGTGGCGCGGGAACCTGTAGTGAACCGGAAGGAAGCCTGTCCCCAGGGAGGGCCCCTAGCTCTGCATTAGGCATTCAAGGTGTTCTCTGTGGCTGTCCAGCTTGCGTCTGTGTGTCCTTCCAGAGCAGCATACACTCCTCAGGAGACCAGCTCCACGTCTACATCTTCCCAGCAGGGAACTCCCTTTACAGTGAGCTTAGAAGGGTTACAAGCCCTCACTCCAAGCCTTTCTCAAATTGTCCCAGGGGCTCTGCAGGCCTCAGGAGCCCTCTTCCACTGGGACGTGACTTTAACCTCATAAGAGGAAGAAACAATGAACTTTCCTTTTACATTGGAAGAAAAAGTGAAAAATTCCCAAGTCCCATTTGTCTCATTACATGACAAATTTCTCCAACCACAAAGGCAACAATAGGGGAATCCTGAGCAGGTTCTCAAATGGTATCAAAGAATTAATATTATTTTGGGAGACAAGCGTTGTGGGTCTGAAGCAAAATGTCCTTCTTAGGAATAAAGCAGTATGATGCCTACAACTTATTCCCCACATTAAAAATGCAAATGTGCTGTGTGTGAGATGGCTCAGCAGGTAAAGGCATTTGTAGCCCAGGCCTGACAATGTGAGCCCAACTGCTGGCACCCAGAGCCGTCTGAAAGGACGACATGATTTGTCTCCATTTTAGGACCAGGCCTAACCTTAAAAGAAAAGCCATCACTCCCAGAACCAGGCCATAAGTCACCCGTCCTAGGGACTAGGTCATAGGTCACCAATTCCAGGAACAAGACCATAAAATCTGCTCTTTGATCTCCTCTCCTGAAGGCGGAGCAGCCTTACCAGGCCACAGAGGAAGACAATTCAGACAGTCCTGATGAGACCTGATAGGCTAGGGTCAGATGGAGGGAGAGGAGGACCTCCCCTATCAGTGGACTGGGGGAGGGATATGAGAGGAGAAGAGGGAAAGAGGGTAGAATTGGGAGGGGGCTACAGCTGGGATACAAAGTGAATAAATTGTAATTAAAATTTCTTAAATAAAAAATCACCAAAAAACAAACAAACAAAAAGATCATAAAATCCCCTACCCAAGGAACAGCCTGGAGATGACCACAAGAATGGGAAAATATCTCAGGATGGGGCATCTGTGCCAGGCAGCCCCACCTCGTCCTGTAGTTAAACGTTCATGGCACTGGAATGCAGCCCACCGACCCCCTAGATGCAAGCTGATTAGGAATTCACCCTTGTAACTTCCCCAACACCCACCAGTGAGGTTTTAGATTGCCTAACCCTTACTACAATTTTCCTAGTTTCCTAGAAAAAGGCCTGTGCGCCTTTGCCTAGGGTCGCCATTTCGTAAAGCGTTTTGACCCCTGCATGCAGGTTTTCTCGGAATAAGACACTCTTGCCAGTTGCGTATGTGAATGGTGGTCTCCGTGCGGTGATTTCAGACTTAATGTCCTCTGTCCTCCACGTGCACAGTGGAAGTTCCTCCACAGTGGAAGTTCCGAGGCTTCGCACACAACACAGCTGACAGGGGCTTAAACTTGAAAGACGTTTGTTCTTTGCAAACCAGAAATTTCAGTAGTCAATTCTGGCAGGATAGGACATGCATGTCTGCAATCTAGTACACTTCAGAGTCTGAATTCACCCTGGGTTACAAGGTGACATTCTGACTCCAAAAAAGGGAGGGAGGGGGAGAGAGAGGAGGGGAGAGGAAAGAAGAAGAGAGGAGAGGGGAGGAGAGGAGGGGAGGGGAGGGAGAGGAGAGGGAGAGGAGAGGGAGGGAGGAAGGTTGGTTGATGTGCCAACTGATTCTGTCAGTTTGTCTGGGTAGCCTCAGCAGACTGGCTTTTGACAGTTAGTCATGACTGCCTGGCAGCTGGTGCAGCTAGAGGCACCGGCAGTCTGTATTAGACTCACCTTGGAAGACAGACATCCATTGAGAGCCAATGCCTCTGGTATGGCTGCCTTGTCATGTGGCACATACTGGGCCCTCTGTTACACAGAAAAAAAGGGGAAATGATGGCATTTTGTCACTTCCTGACCTGCATAGGAGCCCTTTTTCTTAGAAAGGAAATGGAGTGATTTCACTAGATAGAGAAGTGGTGTTAAATGAAACTAAAACCAAACTCATTGTGTGCAAGGTCCTGTTGATGTCCAACTGCAGATAACTGGAGCTCAAAAGGAGAATTGGGGTTTCCTAACTGTGCATGGTCTCTTGAACCTAAGGAAATGGAAACTCACCCTCCACAAAAACTACCTTTGTACTGTTGGCAATCCATTTCAGAATACAGTGAACTTTTAAAGGCTGTTCCCATTGTGATAGACACTACGCCAGAAGGGAATCTATTTCTTGTCTCATGATTAGCCACAGTTGGTCAATTGTCCTGTAAGTGCAAGGCACTGTGCTAGGTGGGAGCCTGTTCCTTTGTTTAAGCAAGAAGAATGTTTCTGGCTGTTACACAAAACCCTAAAATAAATCTGAATCATTTCTTTAACAAAGAAAGAGAAAAATGAAAGCTTCAATAACCATGCTAATTTCCTTTCCTCTCCAGCCCAAGTGAGCTTACAACTGAAAACTCATGACACTGAACTCTTTTTTTAAATTAAGCATTTCTCTGTGTGTGTGTGTGTGTGTGTGTGTGTGTGTGTGTGTGTGTGTGTGTGGAGAGAGAGAGAGAGAGAGAGAGAGAGAGAGAGAGAGAGAGAGCCCTCAGAGACCAGAAGAGGGTGTTGGATTCTCTGGAAGTGGAGTTGCAGGCAATTGTGAGTGCCATGTGGGTGCTAGAAATTGAACCTAGGTCCTTTGCCCCGGCAGCAAGTGCTCTTAATGATTGAGCCAGCTCTCCAACCTCATCTGGGCTCTATCTATTGACCACAAAAAGAGGCACAACTAGACTTTTCTAGATCTGTTCAATGTCCCCTTCCCTTGACTTTTTTTTTTTCTTTTGACAAAAGGTGCAATACACTTGATGTGCAAGTGTTGGGATGGGTTCTCAGACGAGTAATAGGTATATAATCGTCAGGGAGGGAGGCATGGCTGTGGGGCTAGGGACAAGTCCTGCCCTTTGCCACCCAGCTCTTGTCTGATGATCTAGTGTGTAGGGTTCACCTGAAGTCTGTCCTGGCCCATAGCTGAGCACTGCTGGAAGAGCTGGGCTCTTCTCTGATAGCAGCACAGAAAAGCAGTGGCTGACAGAACTCCAAGCTGCTCCTGCCTTTCAGCCATCTGTCGTCTGAGTTACACATAAGAAACCCAGTAAGCAAGCCAGGTATGATGGCCAACATCTTTAGTCCCAGCACTTTCGATGCAGAGGCAGGCAGATCTCTGTGAGTTTGAGGCCAGCCTGTCTACAAAGTGAGTTCTGGGACAGCCAGGACTACACAGAGAAACCCTGTCTCAAAAAAGAAGAAGAAGAAGAAGAAGAAGAAGAAGAAGAAGAAGAAGAAGAAGAAGAAGAAGAAGAAGAAGAAGAAGAAGAAGAAACCTAGTAAATTGAGGCTGGTTGCATGAGTCTCTGATGAGCCAGACCCAGGAGGCCAGGGTAGTGTGTTAAGGTTCAGATAGTGGTGAGTTCATCAAGGAGAAAGAAGAGGAACGTGTGAGAAAGGAAAGGCGCATCACAGCAAAGGGCTGGAAGAAAGAAAGAGCAGCGAGGTAGGAGATGAACTTCGGAGCTAGTTATCTGAGAGCAGAGCATAGAGGCTCTGTCATAGTTTGTTCATTCCCTAAACAAATTCTCCTTAAAGGATAGGTCATGTGCCAGAAACTGTCCTCGGTGCTGAGAACATGGCTCTGAACTGTTTTCCTTGTGGAGCTTACCCTCCAGCAGGAAGAGCAAGTCATAAATAAGACACAAAATTAAATCACATAGTCTAGTCTAGTATAGAATTATGTAATATATTAGTGACAGATGGCAAGGAATTACTAACAAAGGAGATAAGCAAGTATGTGGGTGCCGCAGTTAGAACACAGAGGTTACTAAACTTCTGTGGCTGCATTTGAATCTGTTAAAATGAAAAGTATGAGGCAGGCTCGCTTTAATCCCAGCACTCAGGAGTCAGAGGCAGGTGGATCTATGAGTTCAAGACCAGCATGGTCTACAGAGCAAGTCCAAGACAGCCAGGGCTACACAGAGAAACCCTGTCTCAAAAAAAAAAAAATAGAGGAGAGAGAGAGGGAAAGAAGAGAAAAGTTCAAGACTGATGAGGTCTCTGTTAGCTCACAAATCGATGCATTAGGCCACTCCTAGGATGCTTAACCACCTGTCATGTCACCATTGGTCATTGCTTCCAGGGGTCCAGGAGAAAAGGACCCCTGCCTCTTACTTCCCTCTCTCTCACTCTCTCTCTCTCTCTGGCTCTCTCTCTATCCTCTCTGCTCTCTCCCCTCTCTGTGTTGGGGCTTTCTCCTCCCCCTACCATGTCTCTCTCTTTCTTTTTTTTCTCTCTCTCTCCTTCCTCCTTTCTCCATCTCCATCCCAATAAATATCTTTCATATCAACTCTGTCATCTGGGTAACATATTTTTAAATAAATCCCAACACTCTCGGTGGGGTGAAGATAAACTGCTTGCCCCATAGCCTAACAATCTGAGTTGGATCTCTGGAACCACAATAAAGTGGAAGGGGAAA